CCCCCCCTTTTTGGTATATATCCCAGTACTGTAGTATTTCATGTACATGTATCACTTCATCTTAATGTTTTACATTTTCTAGTGGTCATCTTACCCAGGCAGGGGCAGCAGTAGGCATTGACTTCACTTACAAGAGTGACAGGTTTCCCTACACACTGCCTGCCCATGTGCTTCAGGAGTATGCCAAAAATGTGGACGGAGGGAATAAACAGAATGATGTGGCTGAACGCCTGTTCAAGGTGAGAATAATTTTGGTGTTTAATATTTTTTGCTAATGAACACACAGTCTACACTTTTTTAGACTTATGTATAAGTTCATCTTTTGATTTTGTTTTAAAGATGTAATTTGAGTTTCGTTACGTTATTTAAAATTTTTAACCCATTTTATGGCATAGTATCTTCCTATTTTACTGAGTACTGAGCTGTTTACGTAAATGATTTATACAGCAAAAACTCTGTTGAATTGTTGACTTTAAAAATCTTGTCAGAAGACAATTTTCCAGGGACATACCTCTTTTACTTTGAAAAATTTGTCAAAACTCAATATAAATTTGTAAGTTTTAAAAATATTATCATGCATGGCTGCATTGTCTGCCCAAGTTTCTGCCCAAGCTGAAGTGCACCTGAAGCAATAAACCTTGAGGCAGGAGAGCCTTGCTGGTTACAATTTAACCCTTTCAGAAACCGAGTGAATTTTTTTAAAACAAGTGTGGCTCAATTTAAGTCTTTTTCTTTAAATATTTATCTTTCCAGAGTTACTTCACAGATGGCATCCAGCCAAATTTGGACACAATCCTGAAGATAGCCAGGGAGGTGGGTTTTGATGAGACTGAGGTGAGGAATTATGTGACAGACCAGCACAATATAGATACCACCAGAGAGAAGGCCTTAAGCTGGTCAAGAAAAGGGGTTACAGGTATGTACGTCTGGTTTTCCCTCTAAAAGTCCAGTGTATCAGTTTTTAAATGAATACGTGTCCAGTTGACTCCAGTGAGCATTAAATGATTGTCCCGTTATCCTTCAAAATTTTAGTAAAACAGTAATAAAAGTGAGCAGTTATATAAAAGGTAACTCTAATTATGTTATTTTATTAAGAATTTTTATGAATGTATTTATTGAACAGGTTGATTGATCAGAGAAAAAAGTTTTTCAGTGGAGGGGTGGGGTGGGGTGGGTACAACTTCCAGAACTACCATGTAGAGCTTTGTCTTCAGTAATTTCATTTTCAAGATTTTTAAAAGGTCCACTTTCATCTCTGATAGAACAATTGACTGTTACATGAATGGACAGAGAACGTTTTCAGGAGCACAAGATCCTCCCGCTTTTCTACAGATGTTCGATATTGTGGCAAAGAATTCTGCCAATATGTAAATTAGGCTTAAAAGTGAACAAATGAAAAACTGCTAGATGTTGGCTGTTCAAATTGTATGAATGTTATAATATAATCTTGATATGAACATTTAACTGATGGAATGTGACACTTATAGGAGGGAATTATATCATATATCGTAGAATTCCCTGCTTATAGCAAGGAACAGTAGCACCATTGAATGCCTACATTCCAGATGTAACAAACCATGCATGTTTTATGAAGCTTTTGTCAGTAAATGGTAAATGCTGATGAAGCAGAGGTCTTTGACAGGCATGGTTTGTTACAGTTGGAGGAAAACAGATCTGGCAACAGGATCAGGAAAACAGTTAAGAACGAACTGAAGAGGTAACAACTGAATTACTGTGCAGTGTGTTGCATCATTTACAAAGATAGAAATTATCTCTATTATTTATTCAAAAACAAATAAATGAACCAAAATAATAACTTTTAATACAAAAATAATTTGTTTATTATTATTATTATTTTGAGCTCAAGTAGGTGTTACATCACTTTCATTTTTTTTTTTTTTTTAATATTCCCATTTCAGGTGAATAAAACACCATAAATTCAAGTAACCAACATCACCATGAAAATTCATCCACTGGGCACATCAAAACATCATCAATCACATGGTATTATATGCAACTATATGATTCAGATTTGATACAAATTCCACTGGGCCAGCCAGTGACATGTTAACTATCATAATAATATGTCTATTAACCCTATCCTCTTCCTTCTTCACATGTAGTCCTGCATGAAAAAATGCATTGAAACTAAAACTACGCGAAGCACCTTGCAAAACTGTATGCTAGCTGGTACAAAGAAGATGTTCATCTAAATACCACCCAGCCACTATCTTTCATAATTTCCACTTTCAAAACTCGTCATTTCTCAAAGACCTTGATTTTTGAGCTGCTGATGTAATGTGCTACGACAAGAAAAAGCTTTATGGCAGCATGAGTACTGTTCACAGTGAAGAAGAAGTAACATCAAACAGACTTTTTTTCAATTGTCTCAGTGCAAGTATTCCCCTACAGAATGCACAGTTTCAATTTGTGTCCTCCTCTACTGATATTAATAATGAGAGAAAAAACCAAAAACTCCATCTTATTTCCATGGTGTTTCAGAGAGTGCAATGCTGGTCAATGTATTTAATATCACTCTGCTCAATGGCAGTATTGCAATGATTCCAAAGATTGCCAATTTTTATGACATGCAAATGTCACATGCCATGAAATCCATCTAAATCTCCAATCTCACAGCACAGCTCCTCTGCTATAACACCTTGACTGGTGAATCCACTTCTTCAAATTTCAGTTCCTGTGTCCATTCATAAAGTTTATTGGCTTCTCTCTCCCATTCCTCTTCCTCCTCTTCGTCTCCACTGTAGTAACTGTCCCCTAACCCCTGGGCCTGACCCAGCCTGGACGGAGAGTGACCAACACTGGACGTCTGAACAAAATAACAATGCATACTATAAACAACTTATTTATGCACATACAGAAGACTGAAATTCAATTGACATAATAAAGAAACTAGTATTTTTACTTACAGAAAATTTAACGTGTCAGTTATCAGTTTTTAATCTCATCCTTTCACTCTCCTTCTTTCTCATTTTTTTCTCACTCTCTCAGTAACTCATACAAACACACTCACACACACATGCACATACACACAGTCACGCACACACAGAGTCCACCTACCATCTCAGATCTGCTCTCCATCCCATACATCCTCCTCATCTTAGCCGCCTTCATCTGTGCCTGTTTGGACCTCCTCCCTGTCAACTTGGACGACTCGCGGCTGTACCTAGTAGACCTAGGAGTGGGACCTGGGGCTTCTGTCACAGCGGGGGTCCTGGGGAGATTACAACATTTTCTATGTAGCTGACATCTCATTATATTTAACATATAATACTGTTTTAATTATTAATCCCACTTTCTGTTGTTCTACAATGAAAAAACGTTGTCATAAGCCTGTTGACTGTGGGGTGAGGAGAGTTTAAAATTACTTTGAACAAAACTAATGCAAACTTAGAAACACATTTATATAAAATTTATATAATTTTTCAGATCTGTAACCAAGTGACAAGACCATGTGACAACTTTAATATAACATCTGACTTTACAATCATGTATGCCTTGCCTGATTTAACAGGTAACACACCTCAGTAAGTGTACTGAAATGCTATCCTTGATCTTTTCTCAAGGCAACCATTTTTAACACTGAATCAAATACACATCATTGATTCATATGAAATAATATATATCAGCTCCCAATACCTTAGTCTAGATATGATCTTAATGTGCTGGAGCTGTGTTTCCTGGGTTATAGGCCTGGAGAGGAGTTGAGGGAGCTCTTTCTTCAGCCTGGGGGACATCCTGTGATGATACAGATAGTCCACCACATCAAAGAATATGGTGGTTCTGGGCAAAGCTGGAAGAACAGATTGCAGACTTATAATGGAGTCTTTGTGAATACTTCCACATGTAAACATGGTTATAACACTCTTGTTGAATGGTTATTTAATAAGAAGCACATCAAAGCTATGGAACAAAAACAGAAGTGTGTGATTTTCTTACACCTGTGCCATGTTTAAGAAATTAAACTAAATTATTCACTATAAACATATCACACACATACACACACAAACACACACACGTTACAAGCTGTACCATGCTGTGTATCAAACTTACAATTCAACGTGAGTTTCCTCCATAGGTTTTCTCTTCCTCCTAAATAATGTGGGGTTTCATCTAATTTACTCAGATACTGAAATAGATAAATAAGCAATGTTTTATAATTATAATAATAACAATAATAATAACAATATTAAATACAATGACATTGTGCAAGTACTTGCCTACCAAGAGAACAGAATGTTTTTTATGACATTTAGGCAAAATAAATCGAAAAATTATATAAAACTCAACACTAAAAATAGATATCTTACATAACATAGAAGCAGAGGTTGAAAAAAAAAAGATACATTATAACCATTTATAGGTAGCCTCAACTCTTTTTCTTTTTTATTTCTTACAATCTCTGGCTTCTGAAGTCTAAAATACTTTACTATTTCCTACCACATACTGAGAGTGAAACCCACTTCCAAGACCTAAAGCCTCCTAAAGCCTCCTAAAGGTAAGCTCTTACCTGCATGTAGTCCTTTAATGTTGTGACATCAATCTCATCAGTTATTTTAAACTGTTCATGGTGGACTGCATCTACTATGATCTGGTCCAGGAATTTTCTGTTCCCCATCAGATCACAGGCATCCTGGGCAGCCTGCATTAAAACACTTTGTATTGTACAGTTATGTAATAGCATACAGACACTAAAAGGAAGGCAGAGTACCTGAACCAAAACAACCAGGCATGGGGATGGAGATGGTGGTGGTGGTGGTGGGGAGGGGGAGGGGGGTCGCATTTGTCCAGGCACTGGAACATGGTGATCAAACAGTTTCTGCACATATTGCATAACAAAACTGAGAATATTTCGCCTGTATTCTTAGTAGACAGGCTGAAGTGTTTGTGAGGGAGAAGCAACGTCATCAACTAGGCTAAACTACAATTCCAGTAATAAATCTAAAAACTTTACTGAAACAAACATAAATTTCAGTCTCAAATATAAGACATTATTTGTGTAGAATTATACAAGACCTATGCAATACATCTGACGTATTACTTGTTTTTCCAGTAACAATAAAACGTAAAACAATTAGAACATTTCTTTCATATAAGTAATCTAAATTATCATTTTCTCCGTGACAATAAATCATAACCATTATCAAGTTCTACTGTCTCACTGACCTCAGTCCCTGCCTTTATCACTCTCTTGCCACTAAGGTATTGCACTCCTTTGGAAGTTGTATAATTCTTGAAATATATCATTGGGGGAAATTCTTCTCCACCAAACCTGAAAAGAAAATGACGAGTGTACCTTTTCTGAAGAAAACACTGTTTTAATATATAACCAGGAGTGAGCACAGGAGAATACACTATATTTCTCACAAAAAGTTATCTGTTTCTCTGCCAGTGATAGAAAAAAAGAATCACTGCTACTGCTACAAATAATAATTATAATTACAGTTATAACTGTTAATAAATAAAATATATAAAAATATTTTCTAAAACACAATAGTACAGATACTGATGTAGCATCACATTCAGCATTGAGCAAGAGCTGCAAAAGATAGAATACTTCAACATTAACTGAACTTAGTCTAGCAAAATTGATAATGTAACACATGCATCAATTTACCTAAATCTGACTTTCACTCCTAAACTTGGGTCCCTTATTAGTTCTGCCTCTTGTGGACTTATTTTCCTTAATATTTCATATGTCAAAGAATTTTCCTGAAATGGCAATAGAAATAAATGTAATATTTTGATTCAATGCCACAAATCCAATACTGAACCATCCATTTTCTTTTTAATCTTATGTCAATTAACATGTTTTTCCCAAACATTTGTATTTCAGCAATTACAAAAAAATTCATTTCATTAGAAGTGCTGTTTGTTTCTCTTGGTTAGCCAAAAATTCTACATATGGAAGATGTATTTAGTATATTAAATGATACTAAAATACTCACTGCTGCACAGATAGCATGTTTGAGTAACCTGAACATTTGTCTGTCTCTGTACGATAACCATGTCCTTTCTATAATTCTAGCTGCTGTCATACGCTTCAATCTGAAACAAAATATTTGACATTATTATGCACCCTATAAAATGTAAGATTAACAGAATAATAAGAATGAGTTTAAGGGCTCATTTCCACTGAAGCTACAGTACTGTGGCAGGACACTCTCATACAATACAATTTGTATAACAGATAAACGCAACTTCTCTCATTTCCAAAGTTCTTGTATAATCACCAGTTTTTATGTGTTCTACTCAATGCCAGAAGGAGGTGTGTTAATCTGTTAATTTAAAACTGACTGCATCCTTTAGCTATAGATTAACTGAAGAAAAAACACTGCTTTATTCTTTACTTATGTAACTTACTTACTTACACAGCCTTACTGTCTATCTATATTATTAACTATCAACTTACTCAGAGTTAGACACACCACTGTGATGACCAGAAGACTTGGATTTCGGCCTTCTTTCACTGATATTCCTGTTGTTGTTATTATTGACTTGACTGGTGTCTCTGTGGATGACGGGCTGCCGTGGGGTGGCAACAGGGGTCTGTCCTGGGCTCTGGGACTCTGGACGGTTTGTCTTTGGCAGTGTTATGTTGATAGAGGTACGGCTGCCACCACTGGCGGCGCTCTTCACTGGAGACCCCCTGTTTTCTCGCACAGAAGGCTGGGTCTCTGCCATTCTGCTGTGATTACTACTGGCACTGGAATAGGTACCCAATGTTTTATTTATCTAAATAAACTACTGTAAAATTATTTCATGCATTATTTACTATTTTAAATATTGCAATTTTTATAAGCATAGCACTCAGACTAAATGGACATCGCCTTGCACTTTCGTGCTTGCCTGTAGTCTATGCTTCAAACCTCAAGGCTTTATATATATCTAAATCACAAGAAAATCGTTTGTCCTCCATCGCAGCTTTTCGCTCCATTTCTATCCATTTATATCCATTTCTACATTTTAAAGGACCGCAAGTTGAGTTCAAACTGAGAGTTTTTCAAAATCTGAAGATGTTTTCTCCTGGGATTCAGCAGAAACTGGATCATTTATTCAACTAATCATAATTTTCAAACCTTGCCATATACATATTTAACAAAAGAATTGTCTCTGGATGTGAATTTCCTCACAAACGAGACCCAAAAATAAGAAGACATATCTTACCTCGTTAATCTAACCAATCTCGTTTCCACTGAAAACAATCATGGCGACTGTTTTGTTTCTTGGACTTTACTAGAATTGAGACTCATTAGGATTTTATTTTGATCAATATATTTTTTAAATATACATTAATAAATGTTATATTATTTCACCGATATTTTAAATAAAGATTTTATTTATTTTAATTATAAATTCTCTATTATTTTTGTAAAATTATGGTAATTTTGGTTTTAAACAATTTTCACTTCTACACATTTAAAGCTTAGCTTTCTGTGAACCACACTTCCGGTTATGCGCAGACGCAACATTCCACCGGGTTGAAGATTTCATAGCACAAACAGTGACAGATATTTCATTTTCAGGCGATTCATTTTGATTTTACATTTATTCATGCTCATAAAGTCGCAATCGGTGTGATGCTGTTGATATCGTGAAGTAGGTTGAAGAGTTAAGTTTAAAAGAAAATACAGCTAGCTTCTAAACGCAAGTCGAGGGGACTTGCAAACTGTATCTGAAGCACTGCGACTAAGAACTTCAACGACAAACATTGACATCAGAGAGTTGACAGACAAGTGTCAGAAAAGGTTAAAATGAGGTTTAAAACCTCATTGCAGAAGGAACCTAAACATATCCTTTTAATTACGATTCATTGTTGTGAGCTGTTTTTGAAAATTCATTTAGAATCTTTGAAAATCCTGTAGGTTAGCTAAATGTAATAATGCGATTTGATGATTTTGTTGATGGCAATGCTGAATTTGAAGCATTGTCAAACTCTGTTTTACATGTGTAAGTGGGTCCAGCATTTTACTCATTTAAAAGGGTTGTATCTGTTTCGGGGAAGCTATCAAACATTGCAAACAACTCTATCATAAGAGCTGGGGCATGAATTTATTTTGGATGTGTTTATAATATAATATATATAAATATTGGCAGGTGCTCTTTCAAGGGCTGCCTAATGGAATAGGAACAAATGGTCTGACCACCACAAATGTTTGTATATATCTTGGATTAAATTGTTTATGTTTGTCTATGTATTATTATCATTTTCTAAATTAATAATTTTGTATTACTAGTCTTCTTATGGAAATTCCTATACAATGGATATAGTGGGGACTGTGTTTAAAATTGCCTTCCCACATTTTTACTGTGTTTTCTCCTCCTTAACTCCTTCCCACATACAGAGATAGTGACCTGTACTGGCTGGACGACTCCTGATGAGGTCTACTCTGGCAGTGATGACCACCAGATACTCAGGTAAAGTTTTGAGAAGTATTAATGTAGGTCAATGCTTATGGTGTATATGACACAAAGAGATATTTTTAAAGCAGTTAGAGGTAAAGATGTAAATTATATTTTAGTGATGAACTATGGATGTGAGGAGATAAAAACAAAGTGTGATATTATTATTACTCTACAACATAGATGAATGTGAATGATGTCACTTACCATTCCGAGTGGAAAAGGTAAATAACAGAAGGGTGGGAGGGGGAGGGCAAATAACACTTGATAACTTTGTTAGTAGTTTATTGTATTTATTGTCTGCTTTGAGCTTCCTTGTTACATGGATTTTTCAGGTGGAATTTGCTGAACAATGAGTGCACCTGTCTAGTTAAGCTGGGTAATGATGTCTACCCCACAGATCTGCACTGGTTTCCTAAGAGTGGGGCAGGGGGCAAGAAGGGGGGCTCTGGAGGGGCTGACGTCTTTGTCCTGGGGTCGTCAGATGGTAAGGATACCATGGGATATATCTGATCAGTGTTTAATCATCATTGATCAATTTGATGTTATACTTGTTAGTTTTACAGCATGTTTTGGGGACTTTTTACTCCTAAATTTTCATATCTGTTTTATCCCTCTATAGCTGCCTGATTTAATTGTGTCAGTTGTTCTTTTCTGCTTGTGTTGATTGAAAAAATTCTGCTCACCCTAATGTTTACGAAAAATCAACAAAGTTCAGTTGTATCCTGAGTTTTAGTAACCTTTGGTGTTTTTTTAATCATTGTGGTGTTTTTTTTTTTCATTAGTCATGACTTTTAATTAGAACTAGAGCAGCTATTTTTGAGACCAAATTTCTCCTTTCCAGGCAAATATCATTTGGTGTCTAAGACGGGGCGTGTGGAGAAGTCAGTGGAGGCCCACAGGGGGGCAGTGTTAGCCTGTAGGTGGAGCTATGATGGCACTGCTATGGTGACAGGTAGGCTAGGCATACTTCAGGGATTATTATATAATATATAATATATAATATATAATAATATATATGTGGAAGAAAGAAAGAGTAATTTTTTTTAAGGCTACATATATTGCTTAAAAGGGTATAACGCAATGAGTTAGTGTGAAAATAAAAATACTATTAGAAGAAGTTTCATTAATGAAATAATTACAGTTTTCCATATTTAAAATATTTGTATTAGGATTTTTATGTACAGACACAGATGTGTCTGTACATATAGCCATCATCTGCGTCTGTCGTCGCCGTCGCCGTCGTTGCCGTCGTCGCCGTGCACTTTACCCATAACACGATAAGTGGAAAACCATTTTACCTTTTGACTTGAAACTTGCAGAACTGATGAATATTCATAATACGCAGGTCAAGTTCGAAAATCAGCATGATCGGGTCACTTTTAGGGAATTTATGCTGTTTTTTCACTTTTTTCAGCATATGTGCAGCACCGATAACACGATAAGTGGAAAACCATTTTACCTTTTGACTTGAAACTTACAGAACTGATGAATATTCATAATACGCAGGTCAAGTTCGAAAATCAGCATGATTGGGCCATTTTTAGGGAATTTGTGCTGTTTTTTCACTTTTTTCAGTATATATGCAGCACCGATAACACAATAAGTGAAAAACCATTTTACCTTTTGGCTTGAAACTTACAGAACTGATGAATATTCATAATACGCAGGTTAAGTTCGAAAATCAGCATGATTGGGCCATTTTTAGGGAATTTATGCTGTTTTTTCACTTTTTTCAATATAAATGCAACACTGATAACACATTATAAGAAAAATGGAATGGCCAATTGTCATTTTACTCACAGGAGTGGTCAATCTTACTAAAACACAGGTCGAGTTCGAAAATCAGCATTATCGGGCCATTATTTTAGAAGTTATACTGTTTTTTCACATTTCCTCAGGTTCATTTCTTAGGCATGTTAACAGTCTCATTATTGAACTAATAAGATGCGTAAAAGTGTTTGTTTGATATTTCCTGCATCTTTACAACATTGTTAGTTGATTATGTAAAAAACATGGTAAACTTGTTATCATGTATTGTGTAATAAAGTGTCAAAAATGGAAATAAACTCATATCATTGCAGTTTGTCAGATTCAATCATCCACTATGTTCAGAATCTCAGAATGGAGGAAATTGGACATTTAACACTGTTCTATTGATACTTTTCCCATCTCATCAATTTTCTTAGTTGGTCATATAAAAA